GAGACATTGAAAAGGCAAATGTTGAGATTTCTCATACCAAGGAACATGTTAATGAACTAGACTCTGTTTTGAAAATAACAGTAGCTTTCTACCATTTTAAAAAAATAGTAATCAGATTTAATATTTTAGAAATAAATTCTATAGAATATATTCTCTGAGTTAATTCTAGTTTTTCTAAGTATTTTACATCAAATGTTCTGCAACAATAATAAAGCAGATGATAGAATTACTCTTTAGCCCCAGTGGGAAAGCGTAACACCCCTAAACACTTACGGATTTCCCATATCATCCTCTTCTGTCCCGGTTCCTGACTGCTTCAGGAAATTAAACAACGAGCACAATGAAATGAGTTTATACAACTCATGAGCTATAACACAGAAGTTTCTTATTTAGCAAATGCCTTTTAAAACAGTATCATAGGTCTCTCTTGCTTTAGCTCTGAGTAAGGGCACCTGCTTCACTCCAGGAGCAGCCTAGGCAAGGAGTTTCAACTGAGAGAATTCAGCTGGCAAAAGAAGACAACATGCAGGGGAATACGACTGCCTGTTGCTGCCAAGAATGGTGTTGCAGACAAACTACAATCTTGCTGCTCAAATGTTAAGCACTTGACACGTAAATGTTGTATGTTCAACACAGCTTTTATTCTAATTTTCACTGTGAAATTTATCATTAAACTTTTGCTCATTAATCCAGTCCATGGAAAGGAGAGCTTGCTTTTGCTGTGTTTCATGTTAGTGATAAAATTTCTATTCACTTCTGAGCTGCATTGGGCTTTATTGGGAAAGTGACTTAGTTTGAAGTACAAAAAATTAGTTATGGTGCCAAAAAAAGAGGGAAAAAATGGTATTTTGCCTGTTCTACTGAATTATTTTTTTATCACAATATCTCCAAGTACCTTACAAACCAGAGCATAGAGAATGGAAGTGTCACAGCAGGACAAAGGCAAAGCAACAGGTCTCCTCTGTCTGAGCCCAATACTCTCTTATCCAATATATCATATTTCTATCAAAAAGTCAGGAACATCTGAAATATTAAAAACCGTAATACATGTTCTGTTTTGCATACAAATGTATGTATACAATCTTTAACAAACTAGCTGTGTTTCATGAAGATATCCCCCTGATTGTGAGGCAGGGAATGATACATGATCAGTTTTTTTTTTACTGAAATACAACACCCAGAAAAGATTAGAAACTGGATCTGGATCAGTTAGCAGTCCAGTGAGTAACACCACCATGAATACTACATGCAATTTCTGCAGAACTCAGACAAAAAGCAGGTTCACACTGTTAACTGACTCGGTTAACAGAACAGTGAGCAGGCTGAACCACATTTATAGCAAGTGATGGTTACTATGATAGGGTAATCAATGGCCTTAAAATAAATAAATGTCAACTCAACTTATGATTCACTAGCAGGAACTTATGTAAATGAAAAACAGTAAAACTTTACAAATCTAGAACTTTCTGATCTAAATGGCATACAGCTCATCAAAGATTTTTTTTTGTTAAAAGGAAAGAAATATTAGAAACTTTTACTGACTAGTTTTTAATTTTTTAAAGGATGTTCCAGTGGGCATGAGTTACAGCTCTTAGGAGACAATTGCAATTGCTGCAATTTTGCCAGAAAAGTTCTAATTTTATGTCTAACATAGGTTAAAGCTTTAGGGACATGGTTTAGTGGGCATGGTAGTGTTGGGTTGATGGTTGGACTCAATGATCTTGGAGGTCTTTTCCAACCTTAATGATTCTATAATATAAAATTTAACAATGCATTTTTTCCAAGAGAGGCAAAGTTCACATTATAGGCAAAAAGGCATCCAGTTTTACATGCCGTTCCAGTGACCTTCTGTGTGAAAATTCTGTTTTATTTTAACAGAGAGAAATGCTTTTGTTACGACTCATTTTTCTGAACTACACAGTGTAATCATAAACTATCTACCAATTTATTACTTGGCTTCTTAGGAATGATTATCAGTAGCCAGATATCTTCGGAAATAAAGCTGATACAACTACCAGTAAAGCAAACATTTCCACAAATGATATACTGTGTTGATACAGTTGCAAATAGTGCTGTTTATCATTTAGTAACATAATACTTTTATCACGCAGAAATAAGCTTACCCAAAATGAACTGGTTATCAACATGAATATTAACCAACTGGGAAATGGGACACATCATATATTATTATATACTAGCCCAGAAAATAACATTAAAACATTTTCCATCCCATGTTTTAAGGTTATTTTTCCATGATTTAAGATTATTTCTCCTTATACGAAGAGTACTTTTTTCTTCTAAACAAAACATGAAAGTCCAATCAAGGGGTGGGAATCCTGACTCTCACCTGATTTCTACAGCCTACCCTAGATTTCACAGTTAGATTACCCTACCTGGTTTGATCAGGGCTGTGACTTTTTTTTTTTTTTCCTTTTTCACTCTAGTCAACTTATACATGCTAGAAAAGGCCTTAGCTTTGTTATTTGCTGGTATGGAATTGTTTGGGGAACAGGTTTAGCCTATATCAAAAAAAGAGGTTTCTGGGTTTTTTTCCTCAGGATGAGTTTATCTCCTTTAGAAGGCTTGTTGATATCATTAGTATAGCTACCAGGAAATCTTCATGAATTATAAACAGACTTGACTTTTTAACTTGTTGCAAGAACTAAACAAGATTTGTGCACTTTGTATCCTGAGATCAAATCTTGATCACAAAACATCAGATCGGATCAAAAGAAAGGTATTACTATCTACATTATCACCAGGTAGTTCAGAATATTTTTGCAACATAAATCTTTATTTTGCACATTTTACTTTGTGACTTCCAGAAGTTAGCTACTCTAAGTGAGGGAAAATAGTGTGGCGCAAGTTCTTTATACAGTCACTGCCTTCTCTACCCTATCTATTACAAGCTACTGCTTGTAATCCTATGCTGCAAGCTTTAGAGAATTTAGCTGTATTCACCCCTGATGCCTCAATGGCATGGAACATATACATCCAAGTACTCAGATGCTAATATTAAGGAGGCGTGGGGTCTGAAGCCTGTGCCAATGGAAATGTTAAATAATCATTAACTCAGTATTTTAAAGCTAGCTGCGGTTTATTTTTAAAGTTAATCACTTTCTGTGCTTGCTAGTATTATTAAAGATATTATTCATGTGAAAGCACAGGGGCCAAGAAAAATAACTTCTTATTGCTCAGAAAGGGGGTGAATAATGAAACAAAATATTTCATTTAACTTTCCCCTGAGAGAAATACCCTGGTAAAGTGTGCATGATCCTCCAGTAGCCAACACACTCTGAAGTTAAAAACCCGCTACTGATTCACAGCTGCTGTCCCAGCTCAAGTGGAAGGGATTTGTGCTTTTGGTGCTGGTGCTGAGTGAGTGTGCCAGATTTAAGCCTGCTATTAATGCAAGATGCCTGTATCCACAGAGAGTTGTTACATTTGCCCATAGAGTATCTTGAACAGAATAATATTATTCTTATTGTTAGATGCAGAACTTTTTCATGAACTAACGTGTTTCTTTTTAAAAATAAAGATGGGTATTTGCTATATGGAATTGAAGAATACGCATGCTTACCTGGCTACTCAGCCTTTAGAGAAAGAGACTGGAGTGTTCTGTGACTAAGAGGAACAGAGGCTAAGGAACCGCTGAGCCAGATAACCAACATGACGGCACTTTCCCAAGAGATGGAATACATTGCAAGTGTGGAATCCAGTCCCTAGAGAACTAGGACTTTTCAATGCAGTTCATATAAAACATGTAGGACTTCTTGTGGAAACAAGTAAATAAAAAACCTTTCCAGCTACTACATGGAGTAAAAATATTTTGCTAATTTAGCATAAAAATGAGAAATCACTTTGCCCAGATTTCATATAAAAACAATTAAGTCAGCTTATTTTTTTTAAAAAGCATATTTTAAATCTGGCAGTTTTTCTACTGGAGTACTGTACATGATGTTTTAAAGAGCTTCTAACCGGAAGAGTCACTGTTACAGAGCTAAAATTTACACTGTGTTTACATGCATACTGTTAACCATCTAGATTTGACACAGATAAAAACTAAGATGCTGATCCTTACTTTGACAAACAAGATAGGTCAACACTTCAACCTACTTGATGTATAATAAGTAAAATTTCAGTTTTAGAACAACAAAAATGTTAAAATAGATTTTGAAATCAAAATAAGACAGCGCAGAATTATCAGTGTACAGAAAAGCAGGTCCCTATACCTCGTTTTCTAGAAGAAAGCAAGGTTGGTTAATAAATTACAGGTTGAGATACAGCAGGCATTTTAATTCTCATTTCATTTAAAAACAAAGGCAGTACAAGGTAATGGATATCCGCATGATGCACGTGCTATTTTGCTTGCAAACTTTAGCAGATAGAAAATTTGTGAAGCTATGTTTCCTCACTGAATCTACTGATTCCTAATTAGACCAAATGACTCTGTAAATTTGAGATACGATCAGAAGTCCACAAAAGCCAGCCTCATATTTCATAAAAACTGCTAGGTATTTAGGAAATCTAGACACATTCACATTTTTTTCCATGCTTCATTTAAACTTTGATCAGCAAGACTCTGCTTTTATAAATTACCTACTGACATATTCATAAACTGGCTTGGGAAAAACATACAGGTCTTGTTACAATGAAATTTAAGATCTTACATACACCTCAGAGTCTGGAGCTATGGCATTTCTCCAAAATAGTTCACAGTTCCCGCAGTTAATACAGTACTGCAAAATGGCACTAAAGTGCATAAGTATCTGAATGTTTGTTGGGCTAAAAGGTGCTGTGCAAGCTTAAGCTACTGCTTTGCCATTATATACAAGATCATTTTTCTTTGGGGAGGGGGTACTAGTTCTGGAATGCCACTGATTTTAATTTTAATGGAGGATTGTCTACCTTTCACCTTTCTAGGAGATGTAAATGCCCCCTTTCTGACTCTTCTGTTTGTCAAGGACAGTAAAAGAGAAAATAGTACACTCCTCTAAAAATGTGTTTCAAGATAATTTACCAGAAAAGGTATTTTTAAAAAAAAAAAAAAAAAAAAGGATAATACATGGTACTCCAGATGAAAAATGGACATGCTCTTTGTAACTAGCTATGGATCTTCTGCTCAAATGAACATGCTGTTCCTGTTTATCAAACATGAGTACTAAACTACCATAAATAAAATACATACAGTACAGAACAATTAAAACTTTTTTGTACAGTAGTTACTTTTACATTAAACTTACCATCTTTTCAGAGATGTTGAAAATCAGGACTCTAAACGTGATTATTTCAAAGTATCATTTTTAACAATCTTGCACAGGCCCGACAATCAAAAACACGAAGCTTTGATTCAGATAGCTTGGCAGGTTTCACATACTTTGATAGGTAGGCTACTTTGAAATATGTTGGGTGTGTTTTTTACTTACGTGTTTTATTTTTATCAAAAGACAGTTTGATTATTTTTATTTAAATCTTTACATGAACTGTTTTTGTGCAATACCACTGCCAGTGTAGCTTGAGAAAACAAAATGTGTCTGGAACATTGACTATAGTCCAAGTGTTGTCTACTTAAAAAAGTAAGATTCTAGGAAATCCAATGTGAGTGCATTTTAATACAGGAAGTCAGTCCTAGAATAATTTTAATATTAAACAGGTACCGTTTCTACCACTGGTGATTTGATGCACTCTTCGTGCAGTCTGCTCTTTTCTGGGAGGTTTAGTGAATTCTCAGCAGGGTGCTCTTGTACACGACTGTCGCCATTCAAAGCTGAAACAAAGCCATCTTGAGAAGGACCTTTCAAGTATGAGTGAAATTCCACTTGAGTGTGACTTGGCCTATGCTCAGTGTATAAACTGTTACATGGAGCACTGCTATCACCTTCAGAAGATGAGCAGCAAACAATCACTGAGGGGTTTGCAGAAGGGTAATGAGGGCTGCTAAACGTTTCCTCTGATTGCCGTGTGTAGTCAACAAACTGTTCTGAAGTCATGTTGTAAGGCACCAGAGAAAGACTACCGTTCTTGACAGCATCCCTTTCTGAGTAAGTCTCACCAATCTGGTTAGCAGTGCCAGCAACATGGTTCTCTATTTGGTAATATAGATTTGAAGAGTTAGTATAGTATGAGGCATTTTTAGAGTGGTTTTCATGCACAGCAGTTCCATCAGAGTAGCAAAGGACAGAAGGAAGAGGCACCATATCAGCATGGGAGCCCATGCTTTCTACAAAATCATCCGCTTTTTCTTCCTCATCATCTTCCTCCTCATCTTCCTCTTCCTCTTCGTCATCATCTGATTCACTAGGGGCTAAACTCTGTGTGCTAGAATCTGTAACTCCACTACAAAAGCTACTGCCATCTTCCTCTTCCTCCTCTTCCCCTGGGCACTCCAAGTCCTCGGCTGACTGAGAATGCATAACCGCAGCCGGAGGTTCGGTTTCAATCTCAAAATTTTCTGCAATTGAATATTCAACCGGATGGGGTCCTGGACTCATAGAACTAGTGTGTGCACTTATCTCACTGTGGCAGCCATTTAGTGCCGGAACTTGCTGCTCTCTATTTTTCTCCAATTCAAGTTTCATTATTGTGTGCAAAAAGTGAGTCCGTACACGGATAGGATTAAATTCAATTCTACCTGCTGTATTGCTACACCCTTCTTTAGTGCAACCGCATGGAAAAGACATACGATCCACCTTTTAAAAAAGAAGAATACAGATTAACAATACGCAGCGTAAGCCTGGTCATATGACAGAACCTAGACAGCCTAGAGAAATACAATGGCGAAGTGGGATGCATCTTGAGGAGTACTTGTAAGAATAGTGAAAGCTAACAATAATTCAGAGGGTTAGCCCTGGAATTTAGCACTACTGACAGGAGCAGTAAGGGACCCATACATGCATGTTGCAGAGCAGGAAAAATATGTTGCTGTTCCATAGGTGAAAGCATTACACAGTGGAACAAAAATAGGTAGTTTTTCTATTTCTGGATCTGCTACAGCTTTATGTCATGTTGTGCTCAAATCCAGGCAAAAGCATTACCAGAAAGAGTCTTAAAATTTGATAAAAATAATGGAAACTAGAACCCTATTGAAACCAATTGAGTTATATATAAAAGCCTTTATAAAGTTGCCAATGGGGACACCTGACCACAGAAAGTAGGAATAAAAACTCAGATGCATTTTAAAAGATACTTCAGTCAACTGTAGATGCAGTGCTGTAAGCTCAGCAGACTGTGGGCAGAACTTGTATGTCTAATAATAGCCACCTTAAAGTTCTAAAAATGTGGCTGAGTCCACAAATTGGATAGTTCAATTAGATAGCTTAAGGTCTATGATTTTCATCTACACTATAATACCTAAACATCAAATACAATGCAGAAGAGAACCATATAACACAATCTAGTACATCTTCCCCACATGGGAAGATGAAAACAGGAACAGCAAAGGGAATATATTATTTAGAACAGCAGAGAAAGTTTAGCTTAAATCTTAGGATTTAAGAAATGATAAAAATGCATTCAGGAAGAAATCAACTCAGCTGCATAAAAACGACTCAGGAGAATTAGTGGAAACATCTTTTAGGGAACATTTTGGGACATTTACAGCTGTACATAGGACACTATGTAAATGTACAATACGAAATACCTTTTCAGCCTGGAGAGGAAAAACTACCTGCAGATGTATTTTTCATTGCCTACATGCAAATTTATTATGCATGCATTTTAAGTATCATGCATGTTAAATAAAGGACGGTACCACAGAGTTTCATTTATTGTTTCTCACTGGGTTTGGACTATAATTCACATTTGGACAGTATGTGATTGTCTCTAAAATAAAAGGTAACATCCCTTCTGAAATCTGCAGGCTACTGATCCTTCTGTTGTCTGCATCTGCGTATTTAGATAAAGGCCAAAGAGGAATATGAGGAGCAGAATATTTGCATTAAGAACAACAACAAAAAAATACTAAACAATGTATGTGCCTAAACCAATCATAAAATGAAGAAAGATGTTTAAGGAGATTGTTTGTATTGCAAACTATATACTCTTAAATCTGGGCCTTAAAAAACTGGTTTGAGATCCACAAGTGTTATCTAATAATAATTAATTAATTTCCAGTAGTTATAACTTCAACAACAAAATGTACAGGCGAGTGCGTGCACACCCCCCCCTCCCCCTGCCCTTCCCCTTGATGGTTAAATAACGACGATAATATAGACATTTACCTGACATTTTATGCCTGCAAGACTGCAAGTGCAAGTTTCTGGATCACAGAACACACGGCAGTCACAGCCACAATCCTCTCTGGACAGGCGGATGGCCCGCAGCTCGTGTTTTTCTTCCACATCAATCTTCTTCACTCCAGAAGCTCGCAGCAATGCCCTTCGCTTTTTTGTCGGCAGGGGTTGTAGAAAGAAGTACTCATCTACTTCAGTGTTGTCCAGATCAATATCATCATCAGAAATGTCATCCAGTGTCAGCGTACTAGCTTCTTCAGATTCCACTGTACCATTCTTGGTCATCTGCATAGAACAATTAACAAAGTCCTTAAACTATACTCACATATATATATATATGTGTCATAGATGTAAGTATGTGTAAAGCATTATGAATGTCGAAAGCTGCATGTAAAAATGCTGCATGACTGCCGGTAAGTTCCAGAATATGATTACAGATGGGGTGAAAAGGCAGTTCTTTCACATTTAACATGTGAAATAAATACACATTTTTAGTTTCATGTTTGTCATGAAGCTAATTTTTATTCTAAATTTCTAATTTCTTACCTGTTCTTTATGTCTTTTATTATTTGTCATTGTTTGCCAGATCTCATGCCTTTCTAAAATTCTAGTCTTTTCTATATAGTTTCGAAAGACAATTTTTGAGCCCTTTTGATTCTAGTTCCTGTCTCTGGGCTCTCTGAAATTCTTCAATATCCTTCGGAGTTAGTAATTATACTACCAACACTGTTTCAGATTATGATGCGTCACAGATTTGTAAAATGCTGTATTTTACGTACTACTCGCTATCCTGTTCCTCCTTAGCCTGACAAGTTGTTGGATGTTTGTGCAGCTGAGATCACAAAGCAGTATTTCCACTTAATCGCTTGGGCAGATGCCTATATTTGCTTATGGAGTTGACAATTCTAAGCTTGGAAGTCACTTAATTTTTGCCCCTTTCTACCTATACTACTTCATGTTTATTTGCAATGTATTTCGTAGCGCTGATACATACAGCTCTTCTGAAGTTCCTTCTAGTCCTCTTTGGTCCTGAAAATAACCCATTCAGCTTTGTGTTGTCATACATTTTAGTACTTCACTAACAAATCCAGGTTATTCTGAGGTAGTTAATGAATGAATGAACTTAGAAAAAAAGGGAAGTAAGTTGTTAACCTCTTGTGGAAGATCTTGAGAAAGGTTTTTAGAGGACTCGTGCTCCTTTCCTAGGGATACGAATTTTTGAGCCTCTATAGATACAAGTATCCTGGCACTATATTATTACCTATGTATAGCCTAGCTCCCAAACCTTTCAAAAATTGTTTCAAAGTTAAATGGCCATGAGCATCAAGCACCAACATCCAGTACCACTTTCGTAAGATAGCACACGTCTGTACCGTACTCCTGTAACTCATCTCATATAGAAAGGGGTGTATATATTCAAGTAGAAAAGGAAAAAAAAAAATTTACTGCACCGAAGGAAGGTTAATTTTCCCATCCATGGTAGAGCTCACTGGTTATATCTGCCAGGTAACACAACTACAGGGTTTATGAAAATTCTTCTTCAGATAAAATTGCTTGAGACTCAAAAGAATATCAAATGTTAAAAAAAGTTCAGAGAGACGATGACACTCACCACAAAAAATATATTTTCTCAATCTCAAGTTACTCAGACTGAGCATCGTACAACATAGCAAACGTGAAGCAAGTGCAGTTATATGATTTATTTTGTCAAATAATAAATCCTTTTCTTGTATTATTGTTCTAGGAAATAATTTTGCTTAAAATGGAAAAACAAACAAACAAAAAGATTCCCAATGTTCACCCTGCCCTATGTAACATTTTCAACTGATGAGGCTGCTGATTTACACTAGCTGAGCACCTGGTCTCATACTTTTGTAAATAAAACATGGTGCATCTATGTTATAATTACACACCGGTGAAGTCTCAAGTCTCATTTGCATTAGCAGTTTCTTCGTGGGCATCACCATGACCTCAGAAAAATGGCCCCCAGTGAATGTAATTTGAGTGTTTCTTACCTACAGAAAAATAGCCATTCAAATTCTTTCTCTGTTTTGCCTTATTTACTTGCAGAAAATTTCAGCTTGGCCTGTTATCCCAAATAAATTTTTAGTGTGTAAGAAAGCAGTCCGGAATCTTACCCATTCCACTATTTCCACTTCTATTATATTCCCAACTGTTTCGTTTTCCCATTTATATTAGCAATTTGTCCTTCCCACAATCTTTTGGATTGTAACTGTCATTTATGGCATTATTGAATCACTCGACGGTGAACTCCTACTGACTGCTTACTCTTTTTTGTAATTGCAGTTTTGTGTTTGTAACAACTGCGTAAGACAATCTCAGAAAAAAACCTGATTATTCCTGACTTATAAAGTCAGGTTAAAAGCAATACTCTTCCCTTTGAAGGAGAAGAGTCTCAGTGTCACGACTGGTGGTCCTTACATAGAGTGTACGTGTACACATTACACTGCACAAAGAAAAATTCTCCTGAGATCAGTAATCATCTCTTCTTAGCAATTCAGCACTGTATTTCGTTCATGCAGAGGTGTTCTGCCACTTCCACAACTCTGCTTCAGAGGCATTATTGTTTCCTTCTCTTTTCAATGTATTCTAAATCCTTCTCCGTAACTGCAGCCTTCGGAGTTTAGTGCCTTCATTTTATTTCATGTTTCAGTTTATTTACCATGTCTGTTATCCCTATAAATTCAAATCCCTTTGTGCATATACTTCCAGTCCTTTCTTCATCTTAAATGCAGGCATTTTCAAAATGTCGTCTCAAACTTCCTTCAGATTGTTTTCTTACTCTATTTTCTATTATTCATTCACTTTACAGCGGCTAGGAAAAGGGGGTAATAGCTCCTTAATCAGTCTGCCTGGCTCTGGGGCAATGGAGAGATTATTTACACCATGTATTTCAACATATTAGTTCAGTATTAGTATTTCGATGTATTAGTTCAGTAAGGTAGGAAAGACAACATTAGAAGTCATCCTTTTTCTGTATAATCTAAGGCGAGAGACAGGTAAATCCACAGAGTGATTAAATGCATCTTGAATTAGCTGTCTGAAGTGAGGGGGAGGGAATACTCCACTGTACATGCAACTCAGCCTGAATGTTCAAATCCAGATTGGCAACCTTGATTTTTTTTATATTTTTCATTTTTTGTTAGCTAGGTACAACTAAGTAGAGTGTATTTATGGTTTTATGTTTTCTTTTTTTTTATATGTAATAGGAGAATGACCTACCTAAGAATTCTGATTTCTCTAGTTTTAAATACACAAGACTCAAACCACTCCTTAAGCAGATCACTGTTATTTAATTGCCTATCAGAATTTAAGTTTGAAACTGGCAAAGGGCAAGAATTCTAACCCCTGCTTCTTTAATCGTTTTAGTAATTTATTCAATTACTATTTAATAAAAATTAAGTTTCAGGGCTCTTACCCATGAGGTGAATGCTCTAACTCCTCAGCTTACAAAGGCACCTATAGAACCACACCAAACCTGTCATCTGTCTCTCCTCCTCCTCCTGCAAATCTTAACTGCTTTGCTACACAGCGGCAGAGCATTAAGGAATGGACTCCAGTCACGTGCTGAATACTGTATGCATCCGGCAGGCTGTAAATTCAAAAGCCTGGGCATCAAGTGGGATTAGACAGCAGTTTGCCATTTCAAAGCACCTTAGCTCCTGACTCCTTTGCTGGATGACTTCTTTTGTTGTCTCCTCTGATTTTTTTTTTCAGTTTTGTCACACAAAGAACAAATGAATTAATAAAATGGAAGATTTGAACACTAGCGATAGGACGAGAGGAAATGGCCTCAAGTTGCGCCAGGGGAGGTTTGGACTGGACATGAGGAAAAACTTCTTTACTGGAGTGGCCAGGCCTTGGAACAGGCTGCCCAGGGAAGTGGTGGAGTCACCATCCCTGGAAGTATTTAAAAGACGTGTAGATGAGGCGCTTAGGGACATGGTTTAGTGGGCATGGTGGTGTTGGGTTGACGGTTGGACTTGATGATCTTAGAGGTCTTTTCCAACCTTAATGATTCTATGATTCTACAATTTCTCAAAGAAGTAATTGGGTAACTACAGAGGGAGGAAGATTATCAAGAACCACCAAATACATTTTCCAATACAGAACTTCAGGGGAACATTAAGTTCTCTTGATTGTCATAATATTGCTCATCTGAATCGAACTTGATTTGTAGATGGGTAAAATTTCTCTCATAAAGCTAAAGGTTAATGTCATAACAACAGAACAAGGCAAGGGCCAATGAATATGTGAAGCCTTTGGGTGAAATTCATTTCAACTCTGTAAAATGTGAAAAATTTAGGTTAGACACCTTTGCCTGCCCTAGCTGGAAATTATTCCTTACAATTTCCCACAAAGGAAACCAACCATGTCCACAGACCCAGAAGCCTGAACATCACTAGGGTCATGCTAATCATTTTAATAGATCTTAATTTGAGGAGACATTATTAGTAAGCAATAAGGACTCTTCCAGCTAATTTATTGTGCTTACTCATAATGTTTTCTCAAATGACAACGTATTAAAGCAAAGCCTACCTTGTACCTTTCATCTTGCCAAGATGACTTTTATGTCCAGATTGCCATTAGAATTTTCACACTCTGCTGCTAACAAGTGTTTATGCCACTGTCAGCAGTGTTTACACCAACGTGCTGGTGCTAAATGGCTAAAGTGACTTGAAGATGATTTTAAAGTCTTTATCTGCTTTTCATTAAGAGAAGTTTCTTATTTGGCTCCTCACTTTTAGCAAGTGTAATATTAAACAGTACCTAAGATTATGGAGACACAATTCCAATATATTCCTGTATTTCTATTCTTTTTTAACAAATTCTACATGACAGAATACTTTCTTCCTACAGACTTGCATATTTTAGTCCAATGCGAAAAATTTAAAAAACAGGGAAACTGAAATTAAAAACCACACTGAAAACGTTACTTTCTGTTTGCATAATGGTTTTCAAACAGAAAAACCTTTTTGAGCAAACTTTGCCCTACTTAATTTTCTCATTTTCTTCATTTTTCTCTGCAGATGTACAGTAATTTAGATGAAAATCCTGATTAGTACATTTTCATTAAAGTTCATAATTGCTGACATTGTCACCTTAGAACCCTACAGCGTTTCCTTTTCCATGTGAATGACCAAGCAGCTCTTCCGTCCCTATAATGGGAAACCAGAAAGGCTCTGTTCTCTTAAGCAAATAAAACATGCTCAGTGCTTTACAGCAACTCTTCACCATAATTCAGTGAGTCCTGGATTTGCTTTTGGGAGGGAAAGTGTGTGTGGGGGGGTGTGTGTGTTGTATTTTTTTACCCCAAGTGTATAATCAGGGATGCAACTAAGCTGAGTTTAATGGACTAATTCAAAAAGGACGTTTTCTGTTCCCTATGTTTTTATATATGCTCTAGAGTGAAGAGTAGTATTTTACTCTGGTAAAAAATTTAACACTAGTAAGATGTTACCATTTTTAAGCCACTCTCAGGATTCTGAAGACCTAACCGCAATTTCTTAATATTTGAATTGAAACTTTGGAGTCAGCTTACCAGTCTCAGAACATGCTAGTAAACTATTCCCACATCAACTGCTGGGGATCAGTGAAGAAAGAATCCCACCTCTGCTGAATTAAGTGCAGGGGAAAGGACTTTTCTATTTGGTAAAAGGAAACAATTCAAATTAGGACAGAGGGGGGAATGTAAATCAGGTTTCATTAGTCACTGAATACTTATGAAGAGATTTTGCAGGAACTTAACAGTCACTGTAAAGATTATCATCCACTCAAACAAGTGACTGGGGAGATGGAAGAACACATATTTGGAAGAGGAGCAGAAAGTAGAGTCTACGTCCCAAAAAAAGAGTGGGCTGGAGTGAAGTGAGTTAATGAAGAAAGGAGATCCATCCCAGCCAAGAGGAGAATTATGAAAGCACAAAGAGCAGAGCTCTGCTCCGTACCTTCTGTACTTAGGATGGTACCATTCCCTTGTCTAATAGGGCACTGTGCGAGGGCTCAGAAGACTCATTCTCCTTCTGGCTCTTCCAGATTTCTGCTGGACACCCTGTTCAAGGCTAACTTCCACCACCCTCTGCCTTTGTTTTCCTCTGTAGAAAACAGAGAGTAAACAACTTCCTCCCTGTAAAGCACTCTGAGGTACACATCAGGACTTGGTAATATCGAACAAAAATATGTCTTCAGTGAAATTAAAAAAAAAAGAAAAATGCCATTGTTTCGACTGAAAATGGAATGATAGAAAGAAAATGTTTTTTTTTAAAACACATATACTGGGCTTATATAGCTCTGACATTGCTCATTTAAATAAATAAGGTAGGGATCAAAGTCTTGAATAATTTTTACCTTTAATTTTAGAGAATTGAGTTTTTCCTCCCTGAGATGCTCTCTCAACATCTCTCGGTGAAGCCTCTCCTGTTCCATCGCAAACTCTCCAAGTGTGTATTGGCGCACACTGTTGTGGCGAGTAGACATTCCCAGGGTGCTTCCCCCTTGGCTGGGAACACTGGTGAAGCCTTGCCTTCTCGTGAAGTAATACACAGTAACACAGTTAAAATGGACATTTTTTGTTCTCTTCCGCTTCTCTCTCTTCAGGATTGAAGAAGCTAGAACAGATGCAGATTACCATATGAATGATAACTTGCAGTCACATAGCAAATTCGTCACTGGTGTAGTTCCATTTACCTTAACAATACCTTAACAGTACACACTAAAGTTCAGAGGTATGCAGTCTAAATGAGGAGATAACATTAGAAATATTTATTGTATATGCAAACCTAGAAGCCATTACAAACCGCTACAATCATGAACACTATTGCCTACTTTAGAAGAGAAATTCTTGGCCAGGACAGCTGTGTTTTCCCATAGCATAAAAATGTTTTATCCTTTTACCAAGGAAGGAAATAAATCCCAGCAAAAGGAACTTCTTTCTCAGTGTCACCTCAAAGACAGTGATCCACTGACTTGCTCCTCTTCAAAACCCTGCGAATAAAACAACGTCGCATATGACAGCAGTGAGGAGAACAACAGACCCATGTCTCTCACAGGTCTATATACACCGTTACTATTCTGTCAGCAAGGCTTAGCTGTAAAGATCTATAACTACATCTTTAAAGCATTGGATCACATTGCCAGAAAAGATTCCTATCTCTTATAATCTAAAATGTGAGAAATTAGTGTTAGAAAAACTATAAAGCCAATATGTTTAGTGTTTCAGACTGTCTCACAAATTCATATTGTCATCGTCATCATCACAGAATAATATAGGAATAATGCTGATTAACAATCAGAACCACTGCCTTTTTCTCTACTTTCATCCTTCTTTCTGTTGCCATCCACTGAATACACATGTGTGTGGGTATATATATTCTAATGTGTAGAATTTTGACAAAAAATTAAATCTAGTCTTTTCTAATTCTTTTCTGATTCCCCTCACACTCGTGCTCAGTTTTTCTTCCGCACATATGCAGTATCATATGAAATGGATTTGTTTAAAAACAAATGCCAAATTTTAACTGTTAAATATTGTTCTTTTTTCTACAGACATTTAGTAACTCCTTCCAACGATACTGATCTATTGTTTCTCACTGGTAAGAGTGGTGAGCCTTTACAGAAAAAAAAGAGACACACAAACGTTAGAGAAAGATGAGAGACACTCCTTGATTTTTAAGGTGAATAGCCTGATTTATTTGATTTATTGCAAAATGGCAATAGGATTTTGAGAATGTAGATAAGAAGTCATTGCTTTGCAATTTACAGGCAACAGTTGGGCAGGTGTGAATGAGACACCCAACTGCCAGACTTCAGGCAGTAGAATGATTTAAAAGGTGCCTGACCACTCTTGAAAGACGTGGAACCATTCTATAAAAGCAGTAAGAGCAACATGATGTACACTGCTAATCTAAAATTGCACCGTCCCTAGAGAGTGGAAGCACTTGGCCTTCAGCCTCGGTTCCCTAACAGGTGTAGTTTATTGTCACAGTTAAAACATAGTTAATTCTCTAATATTATTGTGTAGTGAAATGTTAATCACCACAAATGTAAAAACCCTAAACTTTTACATGAAGTAATTCAGTCCAAAACAATAGCATAATCTACCTAACTATATAAAAAACAAGTATATTAGAAAATACAGTCCTGTAACCAAATTACAGACAGTATGCCCCACTGACATAATCGTAAAACTATTCGGGGCTCGGTAAAACATTGAAATAGTATTATTTTTCCTAAATACTGATAAGCAGCTAAAAGTATGGTTTATTATATAAATAACATGCACTTCTTCAGATATGTTGTGGGTTTGTTAGATTATAAATATAAAACAGATAAATAAGCTCAGGTCCTATATTCACTTACATGCTCTCAGTGTTCCAAAAAAGGTGTAGGATGTACACAGAGGAATCAAAAGACAAATTCTGTGACATTAGGCATGTTTAAATTTACATCCAAGTTTAAGCAAATCTCATATCAACAGAGCCTGTCAAAAATATTTATAGGACGCTTTTAGTGGGGGAAGAGGGTTATTTTGTTAGACGAGACTAGTTGATAGGGGTGTGTCAATTTTGCATGATATTAAATATTGTTTTAATGTACTGTTCTTTTCCATATATGCCACAGTTTCAACACAAAACTATCTTTAATAAAACCAAATTTTTAGAGTTTGGAAGACGGGGCAATTTTGATATTGTGACATTCTCTTTCAATTTAGCATGAAAGCAAACACTCTGCATCAGAACCTTCACTGCCTATATGCTCTTACACACAGGAAAGTGCATATTAAAAAATCCTGCTTCTGCTGAAGGGCGTATCTAAACCATTCTGGGATGTATCCAATTTCTGATATAACAGTATTGATGTTATTTCGATCTCAACTGGGTCTCGCCTCTATTTCGGAAGAAATATTGACAGCTACTGAAGGGCAAGCAGCTTTTTTACCAAGTAAAAGAACCAGCCACAAATGGAATGAGAGATAAAACTATAGTAAAATATTAAAGGAAGGAAAAGATAGAAGGTTAATCTTAAAAATACAAATATATGCTTCACAAGGAAATAGAAGGTAATTGCGCCTGTAAATTGCACAAGCTAGCAAATGCCTTTGAATCTTCATCTGTAAACTTCACTATCTACCACATAAGGTCTACGTTTATAGTAATTTGGTTTAGACCTTAGGTACGGAACTCCTGACATGGCTGCTTACTGGCAGGAATACCAAATGCTGCAATAAAAGTGCTTCCCTTTTCTTAAGTCTGTCAATCTCTTTATAGAAGAGAGACTACTTTCTATGCTACTTTCTATACATAAAGAATCATACTACTTTCTATGCGTAAGGAAATCAACCTTACGTTTTATTCACATGCTACACACTGACATTAATAGTTAAATGAAGCTAGGCAGGAGACTCTGCTATTACTAGACTCTCTAATTACTTCCAGCTGAAAAAAAGAATGTCGTCTATGATAAAAACTAGATTACATGAATAAGCTTTTCCACTATGTAGGTTTTTGGGGAGGGGTGGGGGTGCCCATGTGTGTGCTGTCAAAATTTAGAACATGAACTTCATACATTGCCATATGTTTATGCCTAAAAGTTTGGTCAGCAGTCTCTCTCAGTAAGACTGTAGTTGTCATGAGCTGTCTTAAAGAACCCACTAATGCATTTCTTCAACTTTTTTATAGTTCTTATCACTTTTAATAATTTTATTATCAATGCCACACCATCAAAGTTGTTTGGGTTTTTTTAATTATCACTGACAAAAACTGCATTAAAATAGAATTAAGCTGAACTTCAGGAAAATGCTGGCATACTGTAACTGCACCACCACCAGCTCTATAAATCCAGCACTATCCAACTGCATTGAAGACAGTGTGAGAGCTGATATGCATTTGTTGCAAATGTCATTAAAGTTCATGGCTTTATTTATTAACATTATAGTTCCGAGTCAGACAAGGTATATGATAATCTGTAGAAGTAAACATTCAGAACCCTCAGATTACACATGATTTTTTTTTTCTGAAACACATCCTATCTTTTGGGTTTGCTTCTGTCTCACCCAAGAGCTCATTAAAGGGAAGAGCTAAGGCTCTGTGAATAACTCTAGTCATCTCTTCTGTGTTACTGCTAGGAAGTAGGCAGAATATATTCATATTTGTGAGAATGTTGTTTGCAAGAACAGATCAGGCAGGCACCGCAAAAGATTACAGGATTTTATTTGATTACCCAAAAGCATAGATTTGAGATGTCAGTGGGGGAACTGGAGAATTGCAACCACCTCAGTAACCAAGGACATGAAAGGAAGCACAGTCGGCACCACAAAGGCACTATGTTCTTGCTCTACTATACTTCCTAAAATCTCTGAGCAGAGGGCTGTCTTAATGTGACCTCAAAAAAAAAGTATTATTAGATATTGAACGGAAATGTTGAACATTTTCCAACATCAGGGACAAGGTGCTCTATAACTCATTCAGTTCTTTCGCTTCAAGCCAACCAGAACTCAGTCTCTCAGATCATCTTATCAAGAGTCAGGAGCATCTGTTATTTTGCGTGCACTGTACCTTAAACAGTATGTTCAAATCGGTTGTAATTACTGCTAAGGACACTGCTTAACTCAAGACAGAGCAGAAGGACATACAAAATACGTATTTTCTGATATATCGGAAAGCGTGAACATATGCCCAGACAAAATTTACTGACATTAATCAATTAGTAAGCTCCTTTCAGAATGAGGGACACAGATTGTGCAAGGCTTGCATGCCTCTTTGGAGTCAGTTTCAAAGGTTTTGCAGGGAAGCAAAAGCTCGTAACCTAAAAATTTATCCAAAGAGAGTACTGTAAACACCACATTTTTCCAGAAGAGACCTAGTAACGGCTTCCTTGCTTGGCCAGTCTCAAAAAAGTATTTACATGCCATCCTCCTGTGCAACAAGTGATATCAGTGGATGCCACTATCATCTGTTCTGCGCCAAAAGGGTGATACTGACTCCAGGCAGAGTCTGCTAGGCAGAGACGTGTTCTTTTAGCATCTGCTGGACACACACTGTCAACGGGAACTAGAAAGTGGTTTTTGGAAACGAATGCCACCATTTTGGGTCTAGCAGTTCATGGCGAGCAAGGATGCCGGAGGGAACAGGAATATTCATCATCACCTAAAACTGTCCTACGATCACACATGATCTTTAACACATTTATATACTACAAGTCTGATATATTCCATGGAAGGAAAAAAATACTCCATTCTCATGTATTTAAACAATTAATGTAATTTTTAGTTCCATGTTTCAAGATTGTATGGAATTAAATATTTTTGACAGATACATAAGTACTGTAATGCATAAAATATATCTATTATCAGAGGGAAAGATGAAACTGTTAAGAACATAATTACCGCTACAGAACTATTTCTCAGAAAAGGTCACTATATTGGAACAAGGTCTTCAGACACAGATATCTTCAAACAGGACTGTCAGAATTCCTCATCTGAAATAATACCAACTGCTGAAATTTTGATTTTTGGCATTTGACATTTGAGTGGCTCAGTTTCTGGGTTTAGCAGAGCAGAGCCCAAGTTAATAACCTGCTTGCAGCTGGCCTGCCTCCTCATGGAGCCAAG